TGCACCTTTAGTGCCTTTAAAAAATTATAGGCAGGTTCTTTTAAGGTGTGTATGCCTAGACTAAAACTTGTCTGAAAACACTTGGCCCTCTGCATTAACTGGCAACTTAAAAGATCCAAGTTTTCCAATTCTTTGGGTAGTTTCTCACACTTTAACGCATTGAGCACACAACGTGCTGGAACTTTATTTTTTCTAATAACAGGTTTACAATGATTACAAATAATTTTACATAACTGTATTTAATGCTGTAGGATCAGTCTCTCTAATGTAATCTAATAGGATATTCCAAACATCGCTATTTAAACTTTTTGCTTCAGTAACAGACTTTCATAGCTACAACATGCATTAACTGTTTGATCAGACAAGCTTTCTTAAATTTGTCAATAGCATGTGAATACTGAAAATAAAGTACAGTACCTAAGTTTGGTAATCTAAATGTGTCATCTTTTTCACCATCATTAATAGTGTAATACACATTATCAAAGTCAGGCTGCATTTACACGGCAACGAAAACAATGAAATCCATACAGTTTTATGCCTCTTTTATGCTTCTGTTTGCACAGAAATGAAAGAAAACATGATAGAATCTCGATAGGACTCTATGGAAACAAAAAGGTTGTTCAAAGTGTATCGTTCTAAAACGATACATTTTGCGTTGCTGTGTAAATGCAGCCTCAGTCTTATGTCCTCCATTAATTTTTAAATTCATCAATTGTGCTATATTGCCATCAGCGAGGGAAAATCAATAATATGTATTGTTAAACGGGCATTTCTAGCTACATAAATGTGTTTGAAAGGGTGTCTCAGCAAAGGATAATGAATAGATGCATTGTATAAAATACGCAACATACCTTTAAAGTCAGTATCATTACTGCTACACACAATAGGATGGCCTATCGTTTCACAAATAATTTCTGAATGTTTAAATATTTTTCAACGCCATTTTTATTTTTTTTAACAATTACCATTACTCTTACATTATCACAGTAATCATGTTCATGCACTAAATCAATTTCATCAACATGCAGGGATCTTGTCATATAATGATTATTAGGACAATTATCACATTTATCTAAATGATTCCTCAATTGTGTAATGGGTTCATCAAATGGGTTCATCAAAATATCATTTAACTTCAATGATAAAACTATTGTCACCTTCTAATAAAGGCTTGCACCTGCTTGTACAGTGCCATTTCAGGGTAGACTTTCTCTTATTGGTATACATTCTATTGTTGTCATCAAGATTGTCATCTTCAGAGTCACTATTATCATTACATTCTTCTAATCTATCAATACATGACACTTTAACAATCTCTGCTACATAACAGATGCCATTTGTATCAACAGGGATTGCAATTGGACTATCTAATTGGCTATGAGAATCATCATTAGGGCTGATTACAATGATCGGCTCCACATCTCAATTAACCAAAGGAGGCATATGATTCCATCCGGTTAGAGACATCATGACATCACTGAGTGTAGGTGAAGTGTCATCACAACCTTAGTTCAAAAAAATAATGAAAGCATTAAAAAAGGAAAATATCTTCCAAATAATGAATCCAAATTATAACAATTTTGTCTTCTTTCCTGTGATTATTAGTATCTTAGAGTGAAAAAACAGGTGGAAAAGAATCCTGTATAGTATCACTAGATATAATTATATCAAGATGACGAAAGACCTACAGCAAAACTGGATGTGATTTCATCAATAAAGCAAATTTTAAAGTGGAGAGACCAAACTTGAGTTGTTCCAACTCAGCCAGGCTGACCAAAATAGTGTAATCCAAACACATGGTTGAGACAACACTATCATTTTCTGAATAAGGTATTGATGGTGTAGAGAGACCACAATCAGATAAAAATTGGTAGTCATCACTATGAAGAAGCAGAGAAAACTCTTCTTCATTGGCAGAGGCAACCTAAATAAATAAAAGTCAAAGAACACCAAACCTATGTAATAGACACGTATTCACTTACTTTAGATATTTTCCCTGTATTTCTTTATCAGGAACATCAATTACAGCTGGCTTTACTTTTGATATTCCTCCAAAAAGGTCTTCTACTATCAGAGGTAAAAAAACATGGGGCCAGGACAACCATTCATAATCGATAAGGCTATTGCCTTTCCTACCAAAAGATACAACTCGTCCTACATAAATTGAATATGCTATCAACAACATAAATAAATTTAACTTTGACTTTAAAAGCATCGGCATTAT